ACATTCTGTACATACATCCATGTCTACAATGTTATAGATGATGTGATAAGCTGACATGTTTACCTTGGGAAGGGGGTAGGGCACTGACCGTGTATATAAAAGGTCCCCGTTGCAAGTCTGCCAGAAACCTTTGTCGCAACTCTGTCCCCAATCTATTTTAGGTTTGTCTTTTGAAAGTTTACCAAATACTTGCGAAATGTATGATTATCCCTTTTTAAGTTGGTCCGTGTACTTGGGTTAGCTAATGTTCGGCCATCACACTAAATTAAGATGTTGAACGTGGTAAACACATACATATTAAACATCAGAGTTTTAGCATTTAATTACCACCATTCATAGAGCAGCTACTACAGCTATAGACTCGTAAATAAATATCCATCATGAGTAGTTATCTAAGTGTATTGTGTTGTAGTTTACTATATGGTATAGTACAAGTCATAAAAACATGTATTTTATCACAGACAGCTGGCAGCGTGTCCTCTGATATTATAAAGACAGCAAGCTTAATATTGTTAGCATGCTTATTTTTCAAAAGAGGACGACGCTTGATGCAAAAGGCTACAAATTAAAATCTGGATATTGTCACTGAAAATCATCTGTTTAGTCATCTGAGTGCAGACTGCTTTGTCTGGAGAGGAAGAGCAGCAAGAGAAAGACACATGCTGTGCTGGCAGCACAAACAGCACGTTGTCATTTTAATTGATCAACTGAAGTCTCAGATTCGTAAAAAGCAACGATACTGGTCTGTGGCCATTTCTAATAAAGTCTATGGGTGTTTCTCAATGTCGAGGACGCTTCCTTGGTAGGACATGTCCCTCCGAGTCAGGTCCTTCAGAAGCGAGGCAAGAATCCTTCCTAGCCTCGGAAAACGAAGAGTGGAACAGGCTAGCAAGTGTGCAAGTGTGCGTCATATGAGAGGCCCCGCCTTACATCTTCCGCCACAGATTTGGGGAAATTGGTCCATGCGCAAAGCATTGTGGGGATTTTAAGGACGCGAAGTCTACCCATGTGCAGCCTCGATATTTCCCCCAAACCAAGGACGCGGCCTCGGTGGAATTCCAAGTATGCTGGAGATTGGAACAGTCCTTCGGCGGCACTCGATGACGTAGCATCCTTGAAATATTTGCTTGGAAGCCAATATCCTCGCGATTGAGAAACGGCCTGTGTTTTCTCTATGCAAATAGTTGCTTCACTTCCTGTTCGTTGAACGTTAAGGCTAGTGTTGTTTTATCTTTTCATTATTATCAAAAGAGCCCAGAAAAAGACGTTTTTCGATATAACAATATTGTCCGTTTCTCAAATCCCAATACTGCCACAGTGTTGCCCATAACATCTCAACGGGACACATACTGCTTTGTAGGGCTGTGCGATTATGGCAAAAATCATAATCACGATTATTTGGGTCAATAATTGATATCACGATTATTAAATACGATTATTCATTGACTTTGAAAACATCCATTTATTGAACTTTAAAACAAATACAAATAATAATTTGAACAGTATCTTTTTAACTGTTGATTTCCCTGAACGTATAATTCAACTGAAAAACCAATACAAAAATTAATTATACATTTAAATAAATATCAAAATAATAAATACCAATAAACAAGATCAACAAATATTTTGGAGCGCACTTCCACAAGCTACTAAACATATGTAAATATGATAAATACAAATAAATTAGACCAAAATAAATTAGATCAAATATGTTGCAGTGCAGTCACAACCTAGCAAAGCTAAATAATAGTTTTTTTCGATTATGTTGTTTTCGTAATTGTGGCAGGCCAAAATCGTAATTGCGATTAAAATACGATTAATTGCACAGCCCTACTGCTTTGTAACGTATCCTGACACATGTTTACTAATAGTGAGCATTTGTCATTCTGGAAGCTTATAATGAAAATCAATGCAAACTCATTGTTCTGTTGCGTTGTCTAGTTTTGTAATACAAGCCGTTTTGTGCTCCTATAGCTGCATGTGGGGAACTAATGGCCCCAACATGATCCTCTTGAGAAACAGTGATTGTTTAAGCGAGACAAGAAACCAGTGGCTGTGCACCCACAATAACCTTTCAGACCCCTTCGCTCCTTCCTCATTCAATCCCCTTACTCAGCTGTTGGCCCCTTTAGGATGCTGTATCAATCACACTGGGCTAAAAATAGATCCAGCTGTAATGAGCTGACTGTGCTGGGAGCTGGCCATCACACAGACTGAGCAAACAGGCTGAACGCACGCATGCATTACCGTCGCATGCATACAAACAACGTGATTACTGAGAATGTGCACATGAAGGTAACGGTTCGATTAAGGCGTTCACCATCACCCGAAAGCAAACTGCAGCAGTGGTGTAATGAGCAAAAAGACAATAGGAAAATGGAGGGACATGGCATGTGGGTTTATTCAGAGGTCATTTTTAAGAAATTATGTTTTTAACACTTGAAAAATTATGGAAGGTATCTTTTTTGGCTACAAGAGAAAGCTATGGGATAACGCTAAATGCTACTATTAGGAATTTACTCATAGCTCTTCTGCTCTTTTTGGTTTAAGTTGCTGCATATCATTGATTTCCGCCTAACATTGATGAAACAGAGGAGCTATATATCCCCTGGGAAAATCATTTGTTAAGACTGCTCTTTAAAG